CACACACACGTGTCCATGGCTCGCTGCATAGAATGCCAAGCACAGGGTTTCTGAATGGCTTACGGTGACAGCAATCAGGCATGCGCAGACTGCTGCTTGAGTGGTCAAGCCGTGTTTCAGTCTGTCAGTTATTCTGTCCCTCTTCACCCTGAGAATTCAACACTGGTTCAAGTTGACTGCCTGCTGTGGGAATGAGCTAGAAATAGCAAGTGACTTCCCCACTAGAGCCATCAGACTGTCACCTAACACTGACTCATTTTCCTGATTTACATAACTGAAAGCTGTCAGCCCTCTTGTATGCTCAGTCCTGTTTACAATCATAAGGTATCGGGATTCATTCAGAAATTGTTTCCAAACACCCCGAGTGCACCGCGGACTGTGCTTGACGCTAAGGATACAGGGGAAGGATGTGACTTATAAGTTTGTTCTATTTGCCTTGTGCAGGAGTGCATACTCTGTGAGGAGGGACTGCCGCCCCAGCCCAGCCTGCCAGGGTAACTGGGGGCTGGTGTGCCTACCTTGAGCAGGTGAGCGGAGATGAGGGAAGCTTGCTTCACCTCAGTGGGTCTTTACTTCTCTCTTCTTTGCAGTACTGGGATTTAACCCAGGGTCTTCACACTACAGTCCCAGCCCTTTAAACATTTTTTTTGTTCTTATTTTAAGGAAGGGTATCACTAAGGTGTTCAATTGCCCAGGTTGGGCTTGAACTTGCAATCCTCCTCCCTCAGCCTCCAGAATGCGTGGTACCCAACTTCTGCTGAGTCTGAAGGGACAGAGGACCAGCCAGGTAACCTGCACTAATAGAAATTGTGTTTCTGCCCAGGTACACAGCTGAAACCAGCTTGTAACAGCAAGGAAGAGTTTGCATTTCAAATCCACTTGTCCCGGCCATTGCAATGTGGAGTTTCCTTCATTTCTTTACAGCAGACTGCAAAGCATGTCCTACCCTCCTCTTTGTAGCTGCCTTGCAGGGAAAGCAGGCAGGTGCACACCTGAGTCCAGGAACCTGGGTCCCTTGGGAACTTCCTGAGCAGGCGGCATGCAGCATCCAAAGCAAGGTGGACTCTGGCCACTGCCTCACCCACTCCAGGTCATCTCGGAGCTCCACACTAGGCATCTGCGGGTGGAGGAAGCAGCAGTGCCCCAGGGAGAGAGCACTCTGGCCCCCAGCCTGGCCGGGGGCAGGGCCCCTTTAGTCTCCTGCATGGCAGCTGTGCGACCTGCCACGAGGTGCTTAGGCTCGCTGGCGCTGGCCTGCTGTCTTCTGTGTGCACAGCAGCACCATTGGGCACCCTGGCCTGGGTCAGAGCAACTGCTCCCAGTGCTCTTGGACACCAGCATGCTGTGCAGCACTTGGACA